TTTGAATTTCACGTAATTTAATTTAGTTCTTTTTCAACAGTTTTATAGTTCTTCCATATTTTGAGCACATATTTCCGTCGCATAAGTAGAGCCACGAAAAGTGAAGTGCAAAATGATATTGATACTAGCAACGGTGCTGTCCTTAGTCGTTACGCAAATTGCTTCTCGCGCAACAACAAATCCGCCAAACGTTATAACCGTTGATGATGACACATCACTCAAAGAAAATCCTGAGGAGAAGTTCGAGGGAAAGCCTGGAGAAAAAACTAACGACATGCCAGGGCTCGAGCAAAAATGCTTACCCAAGAAAAAACCCGAAATTATAGCAACAACGGCAGCTACAACGGTGTTTAGTAGCACAACAACGACAGCTTCAACGGTGCCTAGAAACGCAACAAGGATAAGAATTGTTCCAGGTATCTTTTTCAGAATTTCAACTTGTAATTTTCACTTGACCGCTGAAGAACAGCACAGTGTCTTAAGTGATCGAGGATGAAAAAGAACGACCGAAGTCCGACCAGTACAGCTACTCCGTATCTTCACTATTCCTAGCAAGGATTCTAAAATGAAAATCTGCGAAAAGTCGACAAGAAAAATGAGGTCGCTACAGAAAAAGATGTTTGCAGCCTATACATCTTTATCAGGGCAGAAGGTTCGATGGTGCAGTGTTAACATTTGCCCGAAAGTTAAGACGAGCGGCTCGTTTCCTCTCGGGTCCCTATTAGCAAAAAATGGTCTTTTCACATGATCCAAATTTCTTCGGCTTCATTCTGCACCTATTTTCGAAGAAGTTATACCGCCGACAGTAGTGCACTGTTTTAAAGTAAAAGTCCAGATTGGAACGCACCAGGCTCACTGGTTGGATTCATGCGTTCTTGCACCAGACTTGAAGTACTTATATCATTAACTGCATCGATGGTTATTGCTTTACGTCGACCTTTTGCGCTTGCTAGCGTAAATCACCATAAATTTTGCAATAAAGTAAGTGTAAAGTTCCCATTTAATGGTCGTTCTTTAAAAGTAACCTAGCCGTTCAGCGAACATTTTTCCCGCCAAAACTTTTAAGTGTCCATACCTGAAACAACGCAAACCTGGAGGCTGAATTTGAAATATTTAGGTTGGTATTCGGACAGGAAACGTTCCTTCTAAGATTCCAGCTCTTTAGCTTTTCTGCTCCCGAGTTAGTAATTTTCCTGCCAAAACACTCACATGCCCATAAGTGGGTGCCCCATGTGCCTGAGAAGCTGGATTTGAAATCTTTAAATTGCAGATGGACATAAAATTTCAGTCTTCTAGCTTTTTTGGTTACCGAGCCAAAACTTTCATAAGCCCTTTTATGAGCGCCACGCATACCTAGAAGCTGGATTTGAAACCTTTAGCTAAAACATGCATAAAAAATACCCCTGCAAAGCTACAGCCCCTTATCTTGTTTGGTTCTCGAGATCGCTTACCTTCCAAAAAATATGCATATTTTTTTAAGAAATCCGCACGCAGTACCGAGGCCTAATCGGACGATGATATTAAAATAAGAGGGTTACGCAAGTTGTGGGCACATGCTCTAGAATTTCAGCCTTCTAGCTTTTCTGGTTCTCGAGTTGAAAGCTGTTGACAAAAAGTGGAAACAACGAACGTACGGACACAAGGACACACACACATACGCACACAGCCTCTTGCCAATATGCGTTTTTGCAATTTGCATATAAGCAGAAACGCACAACAAGCTTTTGAGAAAGAATGATTTAAACTCGGTGGAACACACTGAGTTTATACCTAACTCCGCTCGAACGCAATCATTCATATGACCTACTAGTTTGAATCTCTGAAAGTTTAACTGATGTGATAAAAAAGTAACGTGTAATCTGAGCAGCTGCTATTAAGCATGTATTGTAGCTGAATACGGATTTCGATGGTACTAGTTAGTAGAATGGATAACTGCACTGCTCAAGTGTTTCATCTCTGTTCTTCCACGTAACTATTACGCATATCGCATTATTTACACCATTGTTAGAGATTCAACGAAGAAAGAAGAAAAAAAAATAAGGCGTTTTCTTTGTCAGCCATATCTAGCACCATTTCGACCAGCCGTTTCAGGAACCAATACCTCGTTAGTTATGTTACCTAATTTCACAGCATACTTGCGGGTCAGAACTTACGCTTTCATTCAATTTCATTAAACTTGGTTTAAGCTGAACATGAATTCAGAGTTCTTAGGATCCAAGACGCTTCATAGCTTTTCGGATTTTGACGAAGTAGCTGATTAAATCATCAGGTTTCGTCCATACAAGTAGCAGCGGTGTAACGTAGGAAAATTCGTTCAAAACTAGAGAAGGCAGATTAGAGGCACAGGTTCAAAGTAGTGTAACATGACTTCCTAGGAAGAGCGGGACACTTTTTGAAAACATTACAAAATGGCAAACCTTCACTACAACGCAAGTACTTTTTCTGACCATTAACGCTTAGTTAACATTGATGTCGTCAAAGTCGCTTAAATCTGGAGTTCTTAGACTGCGTTTTTAAAACTTATTGTAAAAATCCCAACCAAATAAAGCTAAGAAAGGAAAAAAACGAAAGTATAAAAGCCAATCAGTTTTTTGGAAAAAAAGTGAAAGCGAAAAGACAGTTTTTGATTGTTTTTCAAATTTTTTATGTATTTTTCAGCAAGACTTCACTTCCTGCTTTTCCACTTCTTCATTGTATAATGGAAATGATGTGCAATCGGCCGAAAACGAACTAAAAATTGAAGTGCCACAGATCGCAACATGTTTATGCACAGCTGAAGCTTCGATGCATGATTCGAAAAGAATATTTATTGTGCACCCATAATTCATAAATTGTGCCTTTTCATTTGTAGTTCATAATGCAGTAAATTTTTTCACGTATCCTACACAAAGTAAGTCAGACTCAAATTTCCCCCACAGTTGTTCTTTGTGGAAGACGGAAGTTCGGTGTGGTGGCAAATGCCAGCAGCAACTATCTGCTAGCAAGGCTGCCAATAGTTCTTTCGTTCGAGAGTTACTTACAAGCAAGCCCATAATGAATTCACGCTGTGCAGGTGAACGACGGAATTTCAACCGATAGATACGGCAATTGTGGCAAAATTATATCAGGATATTAATTCTTGTTGCAGTCGTTGTTACGGCATCAGTAATACGGGCCGAGACGTTTTCATCCTAACTTATACTGTCTTTATATATAAAACTTTGTAAAAGGCATATACCCAAATATATTGCGCAAGAGTACCTTTGCTACCTGCATTACCCTTTTTCTGCCTACTTTTTTCCATGTCCCCTTATCTTTATTCACTTGTCTGTTACTGAAAAAACTATTTAACATTACCTTTTTTATCGTCATCTAAATTATTAAAAATTTAAAAGCGCATAAAATGGCGTTAAATTATGCAGAAATTAAGATTAATAGGATCAGGATCCTTTCAGAAACGCTGGCTTTAATTCTTGTGGCCACTGCCGGGGTCAATTTGCATACAAGGATATCTAGAGCAAAGACTAAACATTCGTAACAAACTCTTTATCAATTATATAATTATACGATATTTTTAGAAGCATATTTTTAAGCAGTTTTGAAGTTGCCGTTTTGGTCCTTGTTATTGTTCTGATCATTGTTGTCGTATGAATTGTTGTTCTGGCTTCTATTTTTCGGATTTTGAGAATTCGAAGACTGCTTCTTGGGCACTAACGGTAGTGGCGACGTTGTTGGTCCTCCCAGAATCGGTATTGCCGGTGTAGCTGTATGAACCAAGAGTAAACAACAGAAGCCTGCTGTTACCATCATATTGGACGACACGGGAAATTCTCAAAGTGCAGCAAAATTCTACAGTCAAAAGTTTTAGGAAGCGATCTGTAAACTGCTACGTTCATTCTGCACCACACTCTGAAACAGCGTACTGGATCAATGATATAAAAAGACGAAATATCGAAATTTTTGGGATTCATAGATTATATTCCGTTCTAATCTCTTTGTACACCTGGCGAACATTGATCCCTTGAAAAAGTGTTTCTGAAGTTTCTCGGACTGAGACAAATGATCCACCAAAAAACTTTATTTAGTTTTGAAAAAAATCTCGAGCTGGCTTTCAGAAACTGCACTTTGGAATGTTTTTACAAAAGCCGGAACGCACAGAGCTGCTCTGATGTAGTGATGCCCAAACATTCAGGAATCCCAAAAATTTCGAAAAGCATGCAAACTTTGCGGAACGCCTATTTTATATCAGAATTAGTCCAAGTATTATAAGATAACGTTAGAAGTAATCCAGGTATTTTTTAGAACAATGTAAAAATAAGCTAGACATGTAGCAATTGCATAAAATCAACTCTAATTTGCTATTAAATTTAATTTTGAAACAATTTAGAACAGCTATTAATTCAGAGTGTGATCAAAGTTCAGCTATTAATTCATAATTGTACAGCTAACAGCTTTTCCAGTTGCTTTGACTACCACTGATGCTACTTTTAGTGGCCAGCCTTAAGGCGATTCTGACATTCGTTCCAGCTCCTCAAACGTGAGTTGTGATCTTTTGAAAATATAACAGCAAAAGGTATTACGTTTCTAGCCCAATAGCCTGTTTTCAACATCGCATATGGCACATTTTATTAAAAATTTTTCAATAGCACGCTTTTTTTCTTGATCGGTTGCTCGTTTCCGGCCAGTTCTTGTGCCTTGAAGTATAAAGTTTCCACTGATTTTTTCCGCAGTGCTGGTGCATTTCTGTGTTTTGATCTGAAGCACAGGTGATTATATTCATAATAAATAGTCCCAAACTTCAGTGTCTTTTGTTCAGTAAGCCCAGGCCTAAATTCCTTCCAACTATAGAACTGGAAAATAAAAAAAGCTGCTCAAGTCAAAGAATGAGAAGAATCTTCGTAATCGGGAAACAAGTGTGGCAGCCATTGCAAAGTTAAGAGGTTATTATTCGAGGCGAAGCAAACAAGGTGTAAATAGTTCTCTTTCTGTATTTATTGGACTATTCACCTACCGTATATCTATAAAAGCTCAGCACAAAAGCACACCAACGCATTGACCTTTTTCTGCGTTTCTTCCTTTAATTTGCCGTCCTGCTTCTCTTCGATCGAAATCTAACATAACTTCATAATTCAGTGATGGTGACAACTTAAGACACATAATTTCGCAATTCTATCACATTTAACATGCACTTGCTGCAAAAGCATTTTTAACGGACACGACCGTAAGAGATTATTTGGTTTGATACAATTATACCTTATATCTGAACCTATTGATTGCTTTATTTGACATAGTAGTCTTCCATTATTTTTTTGTGTATTTTTATATTTATCACTAGTTCTAGCTTAACCTTAAGCAAACCTTATGACAAGATATTGTAAAAGCGCGATCGCCTCGTCTGGGTAGGGCCGTTGGTTCCTCATTAATCCACGACCAGTAAAGTTCCAGTTAAAACAACGGAGCGCGACGTTCCCAGAGGAGATCAGGTCTCCAGAAGGAATCTGATCCTCCTTTCTCATTTTTTTCTTCCAGCTTTCCTATTGTAGATTGGACTTCACCTCTTCTTTTACTATTATTTCTAGTCTTGTTTTTTTTTATATTTTTAAAAAGACATTTGAAAAAATTGATTTTTAATTCATTTAATTTCTTAAAAAAATGAAGTGTCGCACGAGCAGCCTCCAGGGAATGGCACAGATTCATCGAACTGACAGTGGATACTAACTAGGAAGCATGCAGAAAAGGATCGAAAGGCCTGAAGTTCATGACTGTTGTAAGTTTAGTGCCAAAACGCATGATAGCGATGGCAAGTCTGGTGCATGGGCCTGAGTTTTATCTTACTGATAACTACAAGATGGATCTGTTGCTTGTAAAGCAAATTAGCACTTGAATTCAGTATTTCATGGAACAGACTCCTGCAAAATTTTATGCCTGCGTTCTTCACAGCTGCGTGCCCAGTTATACCCCCATTCGCTTTCATCCTTCAGTGCAGCCGCTGTCCCCCCTGCCCTTTCTGGAATAGTTGAAGCTTTTGGGGTTCTCCTTCAATATTCCTTCTGTTGCAAATTCGCAAAATAAATCCATTTTTTAAGCTTTATCGTTAAGTTTTTTCTTTTCAGCAAAAGGTATGGAAAAACTCGAATCCGGCTATTCAAAGTTAAGCGCACTCGCTTATTTCGTGCGCACAAGAAGCTTTTCAGCATGGCGTTTGTAAATATTGATCGATATTCGCTTTTACAGTTTAGTTTTTTTTCCTAGCTTGCCACTTTATTTTCTGCCCGCAAATTCTTCAAGGCTATGTCACACTGATTTCTTTACTGCAGTGCCCTTCTTTCAAGCGTCATGACAATAAGTAGTTTTGCCCACAACGTGCGGTAGCCGTATTGAATAATAGCACCAAAACGCATTCTTAAGAATGAAGAGTAACACTACAAAGCATCCCTAGAATGTGCCAAGCACAAACTTAGACCTAGACGATTTTGTATTTTATGCGTTTTGTGCTGTGGAACAGCTGCACAAAATGCGTATTGTCGCGCTCCAATCGTGTGTGTGTGTGTGTTTGTCTATGCCTGTGAGTATCTATGTGTGCCTGTAAGTGTCTGGGTGTGTGTGTGTAAGAGTACGTTTTTTCCTGCATTTCAACGCGAGGATCACAAAAGCTAGGAAGCTGAAATTTTAAAAAATTGTTTTCCGCTCATGTGTAACGCCTATGAATTTAAATTCATATTTCACGTAACCTAGGATACTCATTGTCAAGTCAAAGTTTTGGCGCTAAAATCTATAGACCGGGAGCTTTAAAAACTGAGGAGCGTAAAGAGGATATTGCGTATCTACATGCAACACAGAAAATTTTAGGTTCAGCTTCCAGATGTGCCTATTATCACATCTAGGAAAGTGGAAAATCCCCCAGCTCGGGAACCAGGCGCATCAAAAGGCCAAAATTTGAAGAAGTTGCTTTCTATCCTCGTATGGCTTCGGAGATTTTAGACTCAGCTTCCACGTACACCTGGACTAGCGTGCGTGAAGGGATAAGTTTTGGTCGAACAGAACATTCCGAGATTTCTACACATACTAAGCAGCGAGATAGGAACAATTTTAACAGCAAACGTTCGCTGGGCAAACGGCGCAAAACACATGATCGCACAGCTGCCCAGGTGCGCATTATTACTTATTATGTGTTTTGTTCATTTCTGCAAATGCAACAAAATCTACGAAATACTAGACTTACTGATGTGAACACATTTTGCGCTAAATCGCAGCAGTCAGATAGTTAACAGCATGAATGGTTTTTGGAACACACTTTAACAGATTATACTCATATCACCTTCTGGCTACTGCTGCTTGTAGAGGAGAAGGGGTTTGACTAGTATACATTTGATATGTACAATAAACAAGAAATTCCGAAACGCTTTTGTTCGCACTCACGAATCTGCTTGATTTTTAGAGCGATGAATGATGTGTTCGAGATATATGTGTATTTTATAAAGCAAAACCAATTTTGAAAGTGCAATAACAGCGTTCTCTGTTCGTTTCTTTAAAGGTGTTTGGTTGCCCATCATTTCAGTCGTCGATACTTAACTGTTCCAGAGGCCCCATATCGAAACATGCAGCTGTACAAAGTCTGGGATATTGCTTATAAGTTAATCACTTAACGTGCAGTGCCGGCTGAGCATGTACAATGAACTTTTCATGCACGAGTCCAGAATGTCTGCTGTCCGCTGCAATAATAAATCCATGCGTCATGCAGCTGCTTGCTTCTGAAATCATAACTTGGTTCTGGAGAGAGCTCTGTTACTGAGGCAGAGGAATATGGCAAATGTAATTGGACCAAGTCGAAGGCTGAGTTATTC